GGCTTTACTCGACGATGGATAACATTGATGGCAAACAAGCCCGCCGAACGGGTACCTCCAGCGGGCTCGGTGAGCTCTTTGACCATGGTATTGATTCTCTCAATTGTACATTGGGCAGCCTTCTTGAGACGGTGGCGATGGGCCTCGGGCCTACCAAGATTGGTGCTTTCACGGCGCTTGTCCCCTGCCTACCAATGTTCTTCTCCACTTGGGAGACATACCACACGCATACGCTCTTCCTTGGGGCATTCAACGGCCCTACCGAGGGACTCATCCTCGCTTGTTCGTTCATGATCATTTCTGGTTACTTCGGCCCCGAGATTTGGCAACATCGGGCTGCCGATTATGTCGGGTTCGATAAGTACCTCGGTGATATGGTCTTCATGGACTTCTGGTTGCCTATGGTCTTGGGGGCCTTTCTCTTCGCCCACCTGCCATCTTGTGTCATCAACGTCTACCGCGCACGCAAACAACAAAACCTTCCACTCTGGCCTGTCTTTCTGGAGTGGATACCCATGGTTATATACACAGCCTCGATCTGTGCATGGTGCGCCTCTCCGTACTCTATCCTCCTGCGGGAAAATCATCTGGCTATATTCTGCCTGACGCTCTCGTTTGTGTTTGGACGTCTTACCACGAAGATCATCCTTCACCACCTTACCCGCCGGCCGTTTCCCTACTTCACAGTAGCATTGGTTCCGCTCGCGATTGGTGGGGTCATGGCATGGCTTCCCTTATTCGGCTTCGAACCAATTTCAGCTCAGCAGGAGAGATGGTACATCTACGGATATTTTGTGTTCGCCATGCTCCAGTACTTTGTGTGGGCCGTCAGGGTCATCAATCGCATCTGCGACGTGTTAGACATCAACTGTCTAACGATCAAGAAGAAGGCGATTGATGGGAAGGAAAACCAGGCGTTCGTTGGGAGGGAGCTGAAAAACAAGTCGAGCGCCAACGGAGAAGTCAGAGGCTCGAAAAAGGAGTTGTAGGGCGACTTGGCGACTGAGGACCTCATCTTTCCCAGGGAGAAGAGCATACTGAATGCCAGCGCACGCAAGAGAATGGCGGGGCAGAGATGTCGACACAGCTCGTGGCTGGGATGGCAACCGCGGCTGCCGCCATGGTGTGTCGTCTCTGAGGGCGTCTTCGTCATTTCCTTCTTGGTAGTCCTGGCCGTTTACTTCGTGGTGTACACTGCGGAGCTCGTGGGCAGCTTCAAGCGGAATGCCGAGGTGTGGTTCAGCTAGATCGGAGTCCTTCACCGAGATGAAAGCCGCCATCCCATGGGAGGTCTGCTAGAATGTAGTGGCAGAAAGGGGAGAACGTCACCGCGTTACTGCATGTTAATGTCATCTCGGTCGCGGTCGGTCATTTCTCACTTCGCTTTCCTTTGTTCCTTCTTACAACCAATGTAGAAGACCGGTCGACTCCAACGTCATGTCCCTTAACAAGTAATCCGGGCTGCTCAATGGGATGTATGTCCAGTATGCGATTGCGGCCGAGAAGAGCCCAAGCCCACATTCGACGGAGCATGCTTTGGATATCTAACCATTGGGACGCACAGCATCTAGTTTTCATCCGGCTTGCCTGGTCAGCCAATACATCAGACGATCAGGAAATACCCGATTCTGGATCAGTGCTCAGATCAGAAGGAGAATCCATCCCCGCATGATCTACTCCTTGAATCTTTCAGTAAACAATGGAGACGATACTGTACACGAGGTTTCGACCATGATCTGAGAACACATCATTCGGGCTGCTGATCTTTATGTTTCTGCCTCAAACTCTCGACATCAAACCCGATGACCTCGGCCTTCTGCACAATCCTCCTGGCCTTCCCCTCGACCGGGGCATCGATCATCTTCCCATCCATGCTCCACGCGCCCTTGCCCAGCTCCTCTGCTCTCTTCTGAGCGATGACGATGCGGACGGCCCACTCGACCTCCTCCTGGCTGGGAGAGTAGATCTTCTGCACCGTCGCCACCTGGCTCGGATGGATACATTGTTTGCCGTTGTAGCCCATCCTTTTGCCCTCCTCGCATTCCCGTTGCAGGAGTGAGTCGTCCCCCTCGCCTTTATATGCCGTGGCGACGAGGTCGATGGTCGAGGGCAAGTTATGTGCCCGCGCAGCCGTGGCGATCGACTGTCGGGCGAAAAGCATTTCCGTCAGCGAGGGCGTGCGCGTTATGCTCATGTCCAGCGCAAAGTCCTCGGCCGCGAAGACCAAGCCCTGGAGAAGGTGCGGCGCCGCTCTACAGATCTCATTCAGGTTCATCAGCGACTTTGCACTCTCGACCAACGCCAGGATCGAGATCTGGCCCTTTTCCTGCAGGAAGTACTTGGACCGCGAGTGGGCGAGCACATCGCTGATGAAGGTCAGATCGCTCGCGCTTTCCACCTTGGGTACCACCAGAGTCGTCAGGTTCGGGGATTTGACCACCTCTTCTAGATCCCCCAGGGCGAGACCTGAGCCCACGCTGTTTATCCGCACTGCCCGCTCTTTGATGCCGCTGGGGATCTCTGTGTCGAGGGCTTTGCGCACGGCGTGTCGTGCCTCGGCTTTCTTGCCAGGCGTGACGCTGTCTTCGAGGTCGTAGGCTATACAGTCCGCGGTAAGGCTGCGTGACTTGTCCAGGAAGCGTTGCGATGAACCAGGGACTACGCGTCATTGTTAGTGGTCGGCAAGGTGAGAGAGAGAGAGAGAGAGAGAGAGAGAGAGAGAGAGTAGGGTGAAAGCGGGTGCTGACCGTAGAGCATCGCCCTGCGGAGGACGTTCTTTGCTGCCATGGTGGTGGAGCAGCAGGGCCTTGGTCTGCTGGAAAAGCTGGATCGCGCAAGCTTTCCCTATCTATAGAGAGTTCCTGGTCAAAGGGATTCGATCATCTAGGAGCTTGGGAGCTGTCAGACACTTGGGTACCTCATATAATGTACACACATTCCCCAGACACCGCCTCCGCCGCGACCAGAACTAACTACGGAGCAACGCGCATCTCCAACGCGGTTGGGAGATGCGGGGAAAGCAGGAGCGACATCGGCCAAGAGCGGTCGTGCGAGAGCTCACTTTGGAGAACCAATACAGTGAGTGCTCTGTCCCCCCTCACCTCCGGAGGCGACCAAATACCTAGATATGCTACAGTAGGTTGATAGGGGAGTAGAATTCACTCTTGAGCAACTCTGGAAATACGTCCATGAGTTCAGACAGACAGACAGCCTGCTGCCCGGAATCACTCCTTCATCGTGCGGAAATGGTTGAGGTTGGTCTGAGAGTGTCATTTAAATTCCCCTAGCTATCAAAGGCCGCCTCCCTCGTTGTCCTCCTCATTCTTTCTTTTTCCTCTCTCCTCGATATGTGGGCATTGCAACCCTATAACAACAACTATGGCGTGACTATTGCGTGGGGCTTTCTTATCGATCGTGGCCGACCTTGTTGCATTCTCCATCGATTCAGTAATGGAGCATAACAACCGAAACTACAGACGTGACCACTTCGTACGTCTCGTATGGCGTGGCGGAGCGGCTATTTGCGACGGCCTCCAACTCGCACACAGACCAGTAGTCTCACTTTGCATGGCTGAAGGTGCTTTAAGAACGGCCCGTTCATGTTGCCATCGCACTACGCCAAGGGTACTGTAGCTTGAATTCCGGGGGTTTCACTTGGAACATCAAGCTTCACCCTCATAATGTAACTCAGGGACGACGTCTCTGTGCGTCACAGGTGAGCCGTTGATAACGATTCTGTCTTGTCGCCTTGTCCACAACACTGAGGATGGATCCTGGTCGGATGGCCACGCCTCCGTCAAACTGCCTGAAGGCTGAATATCTCGCTCTGTCGTATACCTGGGGCGTTGTCCTTGACAAAGTCCGGCTCCAAATTTTTCGATACGCAGCATCGAGGACACGAGCTCGAAGTCACTCACAAGGCTATTGCAAGCGATGCGACAGACGCTGTTCAAGAACGGATATGGGGATTTCTATCTCTGGTCTGGTTAGCTATCAATTGACCAATCCTCGATGGAGGCGAAGACGGTGCAGATCATTATGATGCGCGAGATCGATGAGCACGCTGGCCATCTTGTGGATGTCAGTCTCCTTTGCCTTCGGAAGATCCAGGAGATCGTGGCATTTGTTTGAGCACAACAAACAGCCCGAGAACGAACCTGATGATCAGAGATTGCTCGCCAGCTTCACGGAAGCCCGTCTGAGCGGATATCCAGGAGTCGCAGCGCGCAAATAGAGGGCTATCCGGAAGATCTAGATGAGGCCCCGGTTCTCGAGGACCTGGCTTCAGACAAGAGGCTACAGCTGCCTTCCGTGTCAGCGCCGGGAGACCTATGTCTGCCCATTCGACACGGTATACAAGGTCCCCAGTAGGAATGTGTATATATGCCAATCCCCAGTTTCTCTTCCCGAGACCCATGGTGATCCTTGCGACACCCCGGCCCGAACCCAGAAGGAGGACATGAGGATACGAGTACATTATATGTCTGGGTTCGGAACGCCGTCGTCTCCTGAGTCGGAAACCCATTCTCTCCTCTATACGTTGACCATCAAACCATTTCTGAGCATTTCGACCATCAGACCAGCCCCGACCATTTCGGCGTGGGAAGAACTGATCATCATGAGTTCCACACACTGCTCCTTGCAATGTATCGCTCATCTTGTCATCCAGGACGCTTGTCGCGTCTCTTGCTGCTGGCACGCGATCATTCTCATGCCTCGAACCTCTCGCCACGTCCTCACCGGGATTCGGGACAAAAAGACCATATCGATGTGGTTGTTCAGGGCTCTTCTGAAAGGTGACGACAGCTGGGTCAAATGTGATTTATCCGCTCCGCGTGAGCATTTTCGCTCAACCTTGGAGTTTGGACGTCGACAGGCTGCCTCGTAGGATATTTCGTGCGCCCGTCTTCATGTCCGCAATAATTGGGCTTAGGTCTGGCTGGCTGATACTGGACTGGTGTGGCAGAAAAGTCTTTGAGCATCCAAACTTCGGCGTTTAATTAGTCCCTCGTAAAGTACTTCTGTGCAATGCCACACGCGCACGCCCAGAACTTTTGGCCGGGCTCCTCACAGTAAGAGTCTAGCCACAGGAAGGACCCCATAACGTCCACAACGGCCGGCCATTCGTCCGACTGCAGCTTCACCACGTCCTGGTACTCTAAGAACGCGACGAAACTCCGCAGCAGCTTCCCTAGCTTGCGAAGACCGACGGCCTTGTGCGCACACATGAAACCCCAGCCCGCGGCGCAGAGGAACAGTTCCGGGTGTCTCGCGGGGATCGCCAGCTCGACAGCGTCGTGAAGGATGCGTTCGATCCTTTCGGCCAACCGCTCGTGTATCTTGGTTTCGGGCAACATAGGCACAATTGCGAAGACAGCATATGCCAGCAAAATGAGGCGACAGATCTCAGAAACCGTGTGCTCCGGCTCAAGGACATGATAGGTCTCCGATACAGGGAGCATCAGGATATCATGGAGCACGCACCAGCGAGTGAATTTCACAAGCGCAATGTTGGGCGTGCCCTGACCCCGTTGCTCTTTGGGAAGACTGTAGCACCGGATCAGTTGGTCGAAGTCTGCCGAGAAGATACTCGCATGTTCGGCGATCTCGACGAGGCGATCAAGGGTGGTGTAAGTGCTGAGTAACGCGTGAAAGCCAGCCGTATGCTCCTTGAGCAACTCGCAGGCGACAGCATCGGATTTGTGGGCTCTCAGACTGATGGCGTAGGTTGTTGGCGCCAGGAGGTCAAAATGAGGAGGCTCTAACTTCTTCCAAGAGGCATAGATGTCGTACCTGTTCACGTCAGTAAATGTCAGAAGACACCCCGTACGAGCACTCACAATTGGATACAGATGGCCAGGCTTCTCAGCCGGATCGATCGAAGACCTCCCCTTTTGTCCACCAGCGAGTACACGGCGTTGAGATGCTCCGAACCGGTGTCCATGGCCGAGTAGTATTCCACACCATGCACATGGGGCACGAAAGGCAGGCGCAGGTCTCGCCGCTTGGCCGAGTCTGCGCCCCGGAGCTTCTCACCGGTCCCGTGGGAAGCTAGAACGATCATGCTCAGTAGGGTCTCCTCGGATACCATATCGCCGTTCTGGCCAATGTCCTCCAGCAGCGCTTCGATGGCCTTTGTCTTGTAATACAGCCTGAGCTGCTCGTTCTGCTTCGGCACTCCAAACGCACCGTGTTGGTATGCGTCGTGAGTAGCCCCGGCGAAAATCACGGCATACCATGCTTGAGGGGACTTCATCACGGACTGCATGATCTCGGCTTTAGGGGCGTTCAGTCCTGCGCCATCATCAGAGAGCCGGAACTCCGACCATTGATACGAGATAGCATGGTCTAACATCTCGTGTACGTAGACTGGGACGTCGGAATTGCACCCAGCCTTGAACGGATCGGCGCGACTGACTCCCATGAGCGTGTGCAGAGATGGCTGCTGCTGCTGCTGCCCGACTGCAAGCTTCTCGCCGTCCTCCATCTCTGGGGAGCCAGTAGAGCCGCCCTTCTTTGGCTTTCGCCGTCGCTGGTCGCCCTCTGGGACCCGGCCTTTGGTTCTCGCCCTACGCAGCTTTGCATTTCGGTGGTATTCACGTGCAGCATGTTGCGTTCGCGTCACCCCGTCCTCGGAGGCATTGGCCTGGGACTGGTTGCCACCATCATATGGTATGATGAGGATCTTCATTGCGTCGGGACAGCCAATCGAGGCAACCGTTTCGCCCTCACAGGCTCTGAAACACTTACCAAAGTGGTGGACATGTGGGCGAGGCAGGGCGCTCTCTTCTTAAAGGGACGGCATCGTACATGGTTACTCCTTTTGTGAGGTTGTTGCTAAGCTTCGTTTGGACAAGCGGACGAATGTTGATTGGAGACTCTGCAAGCGATCTTCTTCAGCTGCAGGAGCTGAAGTCGGTACGCCGACCCTGCATATGATGATAGGCGCAGACGTGCAAGATATCGCCTACGATTCCTCCATTGGGGGACACTGAACGGCTGGTGGGTGCTGTGGCCGATGGACCTCAGCCAGCCATGAACGCAACTTGAGGTTTGGGACGGTTTCCAAAGTATCCGGCAAAACTGGTCTTAGTGGTTTGAATGAAGTAGCGACAGGGGAATGGGCGTTCAAGGCAGGCGTGGTGTGTATGTTCATAGCCTCTGCTTCCGCCGCTTGATGGGATTCGTCACCACGCTCCTACTCTTCCTGCCATAGGGCTCAGATATGGCTAGGCACCTCGTGGTGGTCGAAACTCTCATCTCTCGTCACCTCTGGAAGGAGAGGTCGATTGCGTAGCGGGATCCATCTGAGGGTTTCCTATGGTGAGTTGAAACCCTCGGACAGAACGGCGGCCCGAGGTGGCTCGCTGCCTCCGAGAGACCATGTACAGCGGACAAGGATGTCATTGATTGCGAGGCAATGTCGTTCATATTCAAGCCCGGCTTAATGACAAGGGAACATGGCACAAGCGGCATCAAGCTATGTCCCACTGGTGACCAAGATTTGAACCATTCTACCGCCATTCGAAGTTCCTGCTGTACCTTTCCCCGAGAAGACAGACCGATGATGCTAATGTTTGAAGTTCTGGTCGTAAACATTTTCCGTTGCTCATCACACGAGGCAATACGCTTTGTTTCTCTATTGAATGCTTCCAAACGACGGGTCCCGGACACTGCCGCCGGCATCACCCAGTCCTGCAACAGGTCGATTGTATGACCAGCCGGCAAACTGCTGTTGCATGGTCTGAGAAAGGACTGGCCCCTCCACATACGAATCCTTGGGCACCTCGGACGTGAACTCTTTGTCGAAGTTGGCTGTATCGCGCGCATCAACCTGTCTACGTTAGTTATGAGATCTAACAGGCAAGGTTTATCAACACTCACCACATTGGGCTTGAAGCTTGGCTCGTATTTCCTCTGCAGCAGTTTCCTCCAGTCAATCCCTGCAAAGAAGTGATGAGCTTTGATCTCCGCCGCTCCCCCAGCTCCCAATCGACGCTCCGGGTTGCGGTCGAGCAGCTTCTGAAGTAGATCCTTGGCTGCAGCAGGAACGATTTCAGGGCCGGGAAAGTGTAGAGGCTCTTGCAGAATCTTGCGGTACATTTCATTGGTGTTCTCGTCGTAGAAAGGTGGCAGGCCTGTAAGCATTTCGTACAAGAGAACACCAAGGGTCCACCAATCGACAGTCTTCGTGTAACCGTGGCCGAGAAGGAGCTCGGGGGCGAGGTATTCAGGTGTACCACAGAAAGTGTTCGTACGATCTTCGTCCTTCATATCCAGCTTGCACAATCCGAAGTCGCACAGAGCAATGTGCCCTGTATAATCCAGTAGGATGTTCTCTGGTTTCAGGTCTCTGTAGATGACCTTGAAGCCGTGCAGACATTCCAAAGCGCACAGCAACTCTGCAGTGTAGAATCTGGATCGGTTGATATCGAAACGCTGTTCTTTCTGTAGATGATGGAACAACTCTCCTCCGTTGACAAAAGCCAAGACGAAGTAAAGCTTGTCTGGTGACTGGAAGGAGAACTTGAGAGGTGTGATAAAAGGGTTGTTGATTTGCGCCAACACCGATCTTTCTGCTAAGGTATGCGCCACTTCGGACCGTGAGATGATGTGCGCCTTTCGAATGGTCTTGAGGGCGTAGATTCGACCGGTGTCTTTCTTCATGACTTGCATGACTTTACCGAAGCTGCCTCTACCGACAACTTTGAGCAGCTCGAAATCATCGATTTTAAGGCTGCCTTGGCGGTTCTCGACATAGTTGACGCCGACCTTAATGGAGCCGGTACCAAACTGAATGTCCACCCACTCAGCTCCAAGCTGACCTGCCTGTTTCTCCTGCGCATTGAAGGCTGCTTCAGCTTTCTCATTATCCTTCTTGCTCTTCTTTGGGTCGGGCACGAATTGCCGAGCCTCCTCGAATCTCGGAGTGACGCGAGCGCCACCGAGAAAGATATCTTCGCTTCTACCCACGCCGGGCCTTGCAGCGGGGTTGCGGAGATACAGCTGGACGCTGAGCTCGCATACTCTCGACACGTCAAATTTGAAGGAGGTGTTATCTCCAGCCCACAAAGGATTCTCCGGCGTGCCTGATACTGCATCGACAAATACTTGCAGTTTGTCAAAGTCGAGCAGAGCATAAGGCAGGTATTTGCTGCTGTATCTTCCATGGATGGTTGGAGCTGCATTGATTCCAGCGTGGGTCGACACTGGCCGATTGCTGGGGGCATATGACCCTGCCATGGACCCTGCGGCGTAGGATGAACTTGGTCTGACTGATCCCGATTGACCCGAACCATAGTGGTTGTTGAAAACTGACTGGTACTGTTGGGGCAAGGAGAAGCCTTTGCCTTCGTGCAGCGTCACAATCAGGATACCAGGCTTGGTGGTTTGGACTGGGGGGGAAGTGAGTTGCTCGGAGGCCGCTGCCGCAAGTTAGTCGAAGACGCCACAGTCAATAACCTCCCCATCAGCCCTCATAACGACCTACCTATTCCATTTGCTGAAGTTGTGCTGGTGTTGCTGTGGATTGTCGAGAGCTCAGGCGTTTCCTGAGCAGGGGATGAATCCTCTGCCTTTACTGTCGATGTGGACGTAGATCGACTCGAACCACTGATCAGAGGGGCGAGGTGCGTCTCCTTCAGTTCTGTGCATGACTCAGTGACAAGTCCTCGCAAGAATATTTATTACAAGTCACCACCTACTCTTGGTCAATTTCCACGACATCTTGGACCGTTTGTTTCTGTCCCTTCTCCGTTACGAACGACGACGGGAGGCCCGGATAGTCAAGGTGGCAGATGAAGACCTCCTACTCAGGGATAAAGTGGTGGGTTCGTGGTGCAGGCTGAGACCGAGAGTTGGCGTTGACCGACAATATCGAGGAAGCGCGCAGCCGGCGAAGGGTGAAAGGAGGGGCTGCAGCTGTGAAGGTGAGTGGAGAGTGAAGTCGAAGTGAAGACCGGGACGAGGGTAAGGAGCGTTGACAGAGTGATGAGAGTGAGAGAGTCGAGGTGAGGCAGTGAATCAAGTTGCAAATCAAGTTGCTGATGAATAACACAAGCGATCGCAAGATCTCAAGTGACGGTCAGTTTTGTTTGGTGACTTAGGTGGCACACACCATAACAAGCTGTTTGTTTCGGGGGAGATTTACGAGGTGCGGGTGGTGATCCTGCCGCTGAAACTACCCCACCAAAAGTCACAGGTGCGCTGAAAGTTACCTGTGAGCCCACTGCAGGTTGCAGGTTTCACGTTTCCAGTTTGAGGCGCAGGCTGCTGAGTTCATCAAAGGGTCCAGGCGGCGAATCCATTGGAGTGCTGAGGCGTCGATTGGGTGAGCGGACTACGGTCACGTGATTACGGCTGTACCTCAAACAGCATGGCTCCTTCCGCAGCTGGTGGCGGATTTCTCCCCAATTTCAACGTCCGTCGTACAACCAGCCTAGAGCGACCCCTGCCTGCACCACCATTATCACCGCCGGATACACCAGAGAGACTCGAAAGATCCTCACGACCAGTCAGAAGTACCAGGAAACGAAAGCGCGTTTGCTATACCGTCGACGTTTACCACTCCGATTCTGATATCTCCGCGTCACCCTCTGCGCCTCAGCGGTCTCCAGCCCCACCAGCTGACGTCTCGTGCGAAGACGCGACAGTCCCTCCAGAATACGCGCAGTACCTCTCCTCAGACTTCGACTCTGAAGAAGATGCTCGCATTGAACGGAGCATGGGTGTAATAAGGAAGAACGCGGCCTCACGGGGAGGCGACGGCGGCACAAAGTATCATTGCGACGTTTGTTCCATCGATATCACATCGACAGTCCGTATATCATGCGCAAATTCCGCCTGCCGCGAATACGATCTATGCGTGCCGTGCTTCGCACGTGGAGAGCACTCGAAATCCCACGATCCTCGGACCCACGAGTACCATGTAGTCGAACAGAACTCCATCCCCATCTATACCGAGGACTGGGGTGCCGACGAAGAATTGCTCTTGCTAGAAGGATCGGAAAAATATGGCCTGGGGTCATGGGCGGATGTGGCGGAGCATATAGGAGGATATCGGGAGAAGGACGAAGTGCGCGACCACTACATCAACACTTACATCAACAGCCCATTGTTTCCCCTGCCTGAATTGGCCGACCCTGCCGACACCCGGCTATTCCAACGAATACCCAAGGATGAATTCCAGGCTCGGAAGAAACGTCGTATCGAAGAGCGCAAGGAAGCCGCAAAGGCGGCACCTCCTGCCACCCCGAAGCAGAAACCTACGGCATCCGTGCCCGCTTGTCACGAGGTGCAAGGCTTCATGCCCGGTCGTCTCGAGTTCGAGACTGAGTTTGCCAACGATGCCGAAGAAGCTGTGCAGCACATGACCTTCGAGCCCGGCGATGGCCTTGATCCAGTGACGGGAGAGATGGATGAAGAAACTACCTTGAAAATGACAGTCTTTGATATCTACAACTCCAGATTAAAAGCCCGGACGGATCGGAAGCGAATAATATTCGAACACAACCTGCTGGAATACAAGAAGAACCAGCTGCTAGACAAAAAGAGGACAAAGGAAGAAAAGGACCTGCTCCACAAGGCCAAACCTTTCGCTCGAATGATGAACCACGATGACTTCGATGCTCTGAATCGAGATCTGCTCCTGGAGCACAATTTACGAATTGCCATCGCACAGTTACAAGAATG